TTTAATAGCAGGTGCCTGAGTAATTCCTGAGTAATTGTAAAAGGTCGGGCGTTAGGTGAGGCGTAATAGGCTTTGAGAGCAGTGTATCGGAAGGGGATTGATGCCAAACGTCCCACTGCTTCACAGGGAAGTACAGTTATCATTCAGATAGGATCCAGATGGCATCCTGGAACACCCATGCAGACTATGGAAGAGCCAAACATATGGCAAAGGGATTATGGGTGTGTTTGTGGTGGGGGGGGCGGGATACGGAGCCTTGAGATCTGAGGCGCTGCTTGTGATATCATGTTTGTGTCCCTTTTAGTTGGTGCCAGGCTTTTGTGTTAGTATTGGGTGTGTGCCCACCACATGGGTCTATAACTGGCACTGACTGGGCTATTGGGAAAGCATTTGTTTTAAATATTCTGTAGTTTTCCCCCATTTCCCCCCTCCTATACCCATTGACATGTAACATTTATTTATTCTTTATTTGGTCTTAAAACAGATATGTTCTTCTATAATAAGTACAGATTATATCGGCAATCTGCAGCAGGTCAACATCATCTAAAAGAGAAAAACAGGTTAACATTCCCAATCTGACTCTTCATTGGGATGAACCTGAAATCAGTTTTTATTTCAGTTCTCAGTATGGGCCGGTTTTCTTCTTACTGTTGGAGACTTCAGAGCCCTGAAATTCCTTGCTTGGAGCAGAAATGCGTAAAGCTCTGAAATTCAGTCTTAATTTGACAGCCGACACTGTCCACAAATCTTTTCAAATGAAGTCTGAATTCAAGAGAATTCCAAAGTTCTGCACAATTGTACATTTGAAGACAAATGGTCCAAAGGTTAAGACCAGGCGGTATTGCAAACTTCTCTGTCTCAGAGTCATTCAGCTTCCTGCTGTCCTGCCTGTACCCTTCTGGTTATAGTGAAACGTTAACCTTGCTGTCAATAGCCTTACAAGTACAGCAAGAGAATTTGTATTTGGAACCACATGCTTTGGGGCTGGAGCACACCGCAGCCCAGCTATAAAAAAACTGCTGAGCTCATTCGACTGCTTTTCACGGCCAGTTTCCTTTTATTTTTAGCCAAATCCATCAGGCCTGACAAGTGGGTAATTTGAGCCAGTGAAAGGGCAGTGCTCCAGGTCTCCTCATAAAGTAACTCTTCTCCTGCCTCCTGGGACGGCACCGAACTTGGCCTGATCTACCCAGATGGATTTGTTGAGTCATGTGAGATCATGTACACAAAAACGCACTCAGGCAGAGTGAGGGTGCATAGGAAATCTGCTCAGCTAGACAGGAATTCAGCAGATTCATACTTGTATAAGGTAATGTCTAGTTTATAGCAGGGTGGGGTAGAGGTAAAGATCTTCATTGAAAACATTACTAGGGAGAAGATGATTTGGGGGAGTGGGTGTGGAATCCACGATGCACTTATGGAAGAGTGTGTTTTGTAGATCTTTACAAATATCTAAACATTTATAAAGACAGGTTTAAAAAAAGACCTTAGTGCATTTGGTGTTTCCATTCAGTTGAATGAATCTCTTCAGAGATTTGTAAGTAGTGCACTAACTTCATGGGTGAACAGGTGGAGTGGGGGACACTTGTCTTTCCAATAGGTGCAGTATACATCTTTGCAATGTGAACGGCGCTATACAAGTGTAATTAGTTGTTATATACCTTGATGGTGTTTGTACTCTAAGTGTCTGCTTTTCACTCCCCTCTCCCCACTGCTTACACAATGTGGAGTAATATTTGCTCTTATCAGATGTTGGGCTTTTTTTGTATAGTTGTTTCTTATTCATTTTCTTTGGCGTCTGTTAGCTAAGAAATTTCCTGGAGAGGCTGCGAGTGGGTTCACCAACCTGACTCAAATTGGCTTTATTTGTGGTAAATCGCCTTGCTCCTGAATTGCAGATCCTATTCATTCCATGCACATTTTCAGAATGTTTTAATCACATGCATAGTGATCGGCACAAGCAAGGGTAAGGAGCAGAGGGAACTTGGCTGTCTTTGACATTTTAAGTGCTCCGAGATGCTATCCTGTGTGAAGGGCGCTGTATAAATGAAACTTGTTGATATATCCATGGATATACGTTATATGGTTGTGCTGAAGAATTGGTTTCTGCATCAGTGATAAGTTATAAGGCTAAGTGTGGGTGGACAGGAAAGGAAAGCAGGCAGGTCGGCAAGTGACTGAGAGAGATAGGAAGGCAAAAGAACAACGAGAGAAGATTGGGAAAACATTAAGAATGCAATTGGGAAAAGGGATCAGGATTCTGTACACTTTCGTCATGTATTATTCAGTTTGAAAATATATCAAAGAATTAGGTGAAGAATATAATATATCACTTCCCGTTTCCAAAAAAAAAACCTGGCAAAGGTAAATGTCAACACTGGACGCAACCCAAAAGGATTGACATTTTGATTAATGTCCTAGTGCAGCGTAAAATAAATGTTTAAATCATTGCTTTTGTGAGATACAATTGATCTTCTCAGAGTGAGTGATGTCAGGCATTTCAGTGAAACAATGAACCAAAGCTACCCTGTATGCCTGAATCCTGTGCCAAACCAAAATTAGTGATGTATTTTTCATAGTCTGAACCTTCCACATTCCCAGATGCTCTAGTTTTGTGGATTACATAACTGGTCAAGTAATGAAAAAAAATCCACTTCCAATCTGACAGAATTGTATTGTGCGTCCTGATCTCTGACATCCAGGTTGCATTTCTGGAGTCGGACTTGCCTCTACCAACCAACTTTACATTACCTGTAGCTACTCAACCCCGAAGAAATTCTTCCTGCACAAATGTAAATGGAGCGACAGGCAGACAATCCATTGTTTTTAATTGAGACCTGTGCAGCTTCTGTTGTAATTTGTGATATTTCTGTCTTCCGTTCCAAACTTGTTTTAATTCTGCCCTGGAGAAAACACTGCCTTCTCCCGGGGTCAGACCCATGCCTTCCCAGCATATGTGTTGGAATACAAGAACAATTCCAGGTAATAAGGTAAATGACTCACTCATGTGATGAGTGAGTCTGATCAGCAACACTGCTTTCTCAGTTTCATCTTCCTTCCTGTTTAACCTGCTTTGATTGCCAGGAATGGGACAGGGGACCGCTGAGTAACATGATCTTGATAATACAATATTCCTATAGGTTCATGTTCAGGAGGTTTATTTTCCTTCTAATTGCTTGAAAAGACTTGTGACATGTGCTGCTACTTAACCCTTTGAGCATGGCTGAAGTAGTTTGATACCAGACCAGTCACTGTAATCTTGTTATGTTTTAGCTTATCAGATCAATAATGTAAATTACAGTATTTTCCGTGTTGTCGGGCACTTGTGTAATTCTTCTTTACTGAAGATAGCATTTTGTGATTTTCTGAAAATCATTACAGCTTGGAGTTACTGTGTTTCTGCATAAAGGCTTCCATGCAGAATCCAAGCTTCGGAAGGTACTGAATGATCTTTGTACGCAGTCACCTACAATTATATGGTCATTACACTTTAAGATGAATTCTGTGCAGCTCTTTGAGACATCTTCCCAACTTGAAAGACGCTATACCTAATCCACTGATTATTATTAATGTTAAAAACTCTGTCAAGGTAATCTTTGCCTTTCCACATTGGAATGCTCTGCCACAACCCTAGTTGAATCCACAAATTATTTTAAATCAGAATTATTAGGTAGATGCTTGAATAAAAAGAATATTAAAGGGTTGTGGGGAGTGACCAGGGAGTGGGAATCGATCACATGGCTTATGTGGATGAAACACTAGTGCAGATGTGATGGGCCAAATGACTGGTTTCTGTGCTGCAGCATTCTGAGCTCTTCAAACAGTAGTAAGAGGAATCTCAACTCTCATGTGTTTTTGAAATACATTCAAAGGGTAATTTAACAACTCTTGAGTTGATGAGTGTACAAGAGTTAGCTTGGCTCAGTTGTTAACACTCTTATTTCTGAATCAGAAGATTGTAGGTTTAAACTCCAAGTCAGGTGTATGATCTCACGGTCTTATGCCGACACTCCATCGAAGCATTTGGTTGAGACTTTTAAGCCAAATCCTGTCTGACTGTTCAAGTGGATGTCAAAGATTCCATGGCACTATTCAAAAAAGACTGGAGTTTCTTTCGATATCTTTGTCAACAATCTTTCAGAATACTTGGTCATTTACTTCATGACTGTTTCAGGGATATTGCTGTAGTTAAATTGGCTACCATGTTTGCCTACAAAATAAGCATTCATGCCACAGTTCAATGTTGTGAAGGACTTTGAGTCATTTCAATGATGTGATAAGGTTCTATATCAAATGCAATGATTATTATTATTGGCTATCATGGTTGAATTGAATTAATAAGTATGAATGGGATAGATTGAGTGAGAAGCTTCTCATTCATAACTCAAGACCTGGAGTCCTAAAGTCATAACTGGAGTCCTGTAGCTCAGTGGTTAGAACACTCGCCTCGCAAGCGAGAGACCTGGTTCTATTCCCAGACAGGGCGAAATATTGGGCAAGTTTCTTGCTCCACATGCCTCTGTTTACCTAGCAGTAAGTAGAAACCCAGTTGTTAGTCGAATGGCGAATCGCTTCTCCGGGGGTAATAATCTCTTCAAAAATAATAATAATAATAAATAATTTATTCACTCAATCCACGACTGTTTGTGGGACACTACCGTGCGCAATTGGCTGCTGTGTTTCCCCCACAAAATGCACAGTCAGTTCACTTTACAGTATATTCTGTGAAGCGCTTTTAGACGTATCGAAGATGTGATAAGGCCCTATATCAAATGCAAGGATTATTATTGTTGTTATATATTCTGTGAAGCGCTTTAAGACATTTTGATCTGTGATAAACTGCTATATCAAGTCAAAGATTATTTTAGTGTTATTACACTGCTGGAGGTTGATGGGGACGTTTGTATGTGCACATTGCTCTTGAATATGTGGTTCTCATCATGAAGCAAAATAAAGACTTCTCTTTAACTGTATTTAATTGTGCTATTCTGTTCATGCAGGATAAATAGGAAGTTGAGTCGATTTTGTGCTGGAGTGAAGACCCAGTGGAGGTGCGGTAATGGACTGTTAAATATGCACTCAGAATGTAGTGACTATTCAACCCTTGGGGTAGGTGATCTCTTTGTTCAGGAAATGTAACTCTGGGTGTATGTGTGCTTGTGTTTTGGTACTTCGGGCAGTGATCTGTTAGTTTTGTCCGTACAGTTTTTAACATGTAATGTCCCAGATTTATATAAGTGTGTGTATTTTATTGATCATGCAGAAATGCAAACAAAGTTTGAAAGAGGATTAATGTGCCATTGTGTATTTCTGTGAAGGCAAATCTTACCTTGATTTCTCCAGCTGTGACTGATGGACAAATAACCAGTCTGATTCTGGGCCGGGGTGGGGGGGGGGGGGCGAGAGGGCAATGGATTCTGTAAATTGATATCATTATGGATGTGTATTTGTGTGTGTACACATTTATAGAAAAGACCGAGTGACATCAAATAATTGGAATCTATTACAATGTGTGAGCAATTTGCCAAGAGCAATGATTCTCATGTTGCAGCCTGTTCTTGTTCAGTCCTATTTCTCTGCCCTACTTCACAGTTAAAATGTGGTCACCTCCACAAGCTGGGAGCAATGCAGTTAACCAATCCAAAATGGCCCAAAATACAAAAGGGGGTGAAATGCACTTCCTTCTGCAAGATAAACACGAGAGTAAAGGCATGGTAACGAGCAATATCCACACTACTTCTGTGACACTTGAATCACTGAGGAAGCAGCAGAATTGATGCCCAGAATTGATGAGATGCTGAGTAGTTTGGGCACTCATTTCATAGTGATCTCACACTTCGGTAACTTGAGGAAATGCAATAGGTCCCACTCACTGTTGTCTCTATTGTTACCACTTATTTTCCAAAGTCCTGGTCCCCTGTTCAATAGAACCCATTCATTTAGAACCGCTGGCAGGGTTAATTTAATGACTAAAATCAGGCTGGTTGATTGGTATCCTTCAATGTTATTTTTGTTCCACTTTCTTTATTCTGATCGACCACACTCGTGTCATGCTTAATTTGGAATCCAAGAAACTCAATGTAGATTTAGGCTATCTTCCCCGACTGCCTGGTAGGGCACACCATTTGCCTTAGCTCAGGGCATAAAAGGGATGGGACTGAAGGCAGTATGAAACTGTTACAAGTAAGTGCAATTTTTAAGCAGTTACATTAAGCTTTATACCCTCTCACAATGGTACCTTTGAAACTCACAGATGCCAGCTAAGGATTGTCAGGTGGAGACTGTCTGTAATTGGTTGATGGCATCTCTGTTACAGCACCTTTGGACTTCCTCCCGACATGATAGGCACTATACAATTGTATTGTATGTTGTGATGCCATGGGATTCAGCTGTGGTTAAGGAATGGAAGAGGGTCTTTATTGCTTAAACTTTCCATCCACTGATTTGATAGTAAGGGTATTGGGGACTGTGGGAAAAAAACAGGAAAATGGTATTGAGTTACAGATCAGGCACAATCTGAGAAATTGGCATAGCAGACTTGATGGGCTGAATAACTGCCTCCTATTCATACAAACGATTGTAAATTTCCTCAGCTTTCATATTTTATTCCTTCTTTTACTCTACATCCATGTGATAAGTTTTGCTGGTACCTTTTCAATTACTTTCAAATGGAAGACTGCTCAGTCACATCTTAATAGCCAATTTAAGAACTCTTACAGTAATAGTGACGAGAAAAGTGAATGACTCATTTCTTTTTCAAAATAGTTTAACCTGCTTTCACCTCTCAAAGTGAATTGCCAGTGTTACTTTGTTTCTGGACTCTTACAAAAGATCCCAAGAGCTTGCTCAAGTGTTAAAATAAAATGGGTTTTTAAAAAGAAAAGGGCATGGGGGTGAAAATTACAATATTTCTAAGTTCCTTAATTAACACAGTTCTTTCTTTAATGATGTTCCGTCATTAAGAAATTATTTCTCGGCTGATCAAAAAAAGTAGTTAAACCTGTCACGGAGAATGGTTTTGCCCACAAACTCTTGAGTATTCAATATTGGCCCATATGTTTTGTAAGTGTAATGTGGAGCCTGGCAGCTATTATTGCCAGATGCCAGAGCATTGTTTCAACACTGCTTCGCCAGTTACCAGCTTAACTTGGAAACGTGGTGCAGATATTGTGTTCTCATAGTTTATGGGCAAAACTATTCTTCAGAAATTGGAGGCAGTTATGGAAGATTTGATCACTTGCAAAGCCTTTTGATGAGCCCAGTTTTTAAAGCTGCATTTTAACTGGATTTTCTGGCCAGTCATTAAAGCTTTCCTTAATTAAGGAACATGTTTAGGAATACTGCAAGTTGGGTGCTTCAATCAGTGAGTCAGTAACTAGAGGGCATTAATCCACAATGATCAGCAAAGGGAGTATTTAGGAGGATTTTTTGTTTACCCAGATAATTATTAGGATGTGGAAGGCCCTGCTGGGTGTTGTGGTTGAGGCAGTATTTCTATTAACTTTCAGGAGGAATCTATACATGTATATATCTATCTTCTTCTATACTAATAAAATGACAATGCTTGTCTGCGTTTCAAGAAGGAACTCAATAACTGATTGACGTAGAGACATGATTTATACCTCATCGGAAAGGTCTTGCAACTGGGAATGACATAGGTATATTTGTTTTCGGGTATCTCCTATCGTTCATGAGTTATTTTAAGTTTTGCATTTTGCACTGCTGTTACACCTGGTGGGCGCAGAGTCAAAGTGGCGCTGTGGCATCATGCGTCACAGAGTACGTATGTACATACACACTGCAGTTATAATAATAATAATAATAATCCTTGCATTTGATATAGCGCTTTTCACGTCTTCTCGACGTCTCAAAGCGCTTCACAGAATAGACTGTAAAGTGAATTGACCGTATATTTGTGGGTGAAACACGGCAGCCAATTGCGCACAGCAGTGTCCCACAAACAGTCGTGGATTGAAGTGACCAATTTATTATTGTTTTTGTTTTGGAGGGATTATTATTAGGCGTGTGGAGGAAGGAAACTTGCTTAAGGCTTCACCCTGTCTGGAAATGAACCCAGGTGTCTCGCTTGCAAGGCGAGTGCTGTAACCACTGAGCTACAGGATTCCACCTGGTGGTTGTGCTGGCTGACCGTGGCATTCTGTGTTACAGAGCACACATGTAGCCAAGTAGCGGGAATAAAATAAAGAACACAGACAGAGCTAAGCCGTTGCAAAAACAACAAATTTACATTTTAAAGCGCCAATGCCTCCCGTTGAGTCCTTCCACAGGGGTCCTCCCAAATGAGTATAGATAAAGATGAAATGTCTGTCTGTGTGTCAATCTATATAAACTGAGTCATTTAAAGAGTTGTGGAAATAAGGTAGGTAAATGGATTGTTCTTTCTAAGACCTAGCACAGAAACGATGAGCCAAATGACTGTGTTGTAAATTTCTATGGTTCTTTGGTTTTCATTGCTTACATGTTTTGGGGGAACTTTTTGGCGAACTTTCCCTAAAGAGATTCAATAGCCACGTACACACAAGATTATTTATGTGTGTGGAAGCAGTACGCTTGTTGGGATGTATGATTTTTTTCTTGTTTCTCTTATGTTCTTAAACGTTCAACTGTTTCAGACATTACTAAACCAAGACCAGTACATTTTACACAATAGTGATACAGATAGGATCCAAGCCAAGTCACATGGCAGTGTTTGACCTGTGCATTTTACTAACACATCCATATCTAAGGATTGGCAAATTACATTAACATGTGACCATTTTCTGTCACTATAAATGCAAGGATTATTATTATTACTCCACTTCTCAGCTCACTGAGAGATCAGTGATTTCAAGAAACATAAAACTCAAGTCCCTTAAATGGTGTTTGCATTCTAGTGGATTAGTTTATGATCCCTGTACACAGTCCCTGAAGAGCTGCCAGAGATAGTTTTTACATCCACACCTGTAAACAATCCTTACAATAACCTGCAAAATTGTAAATTCAATTTGAGTAAGTCTGTTTGAAATGAGGAAAGAAGAAAGCTCTTTTCAATACTAGTGTTTGCTGTACTTGGGTAGTGGATCAAAAAAATAATGAAATATATAAACAAAGTGTAGGACTCTGACCTAGGCTTACACTTGTGTATTTCATGGTTCTAGTGTTCATCCTCTGTATAATCCTAAATCTGTTCCCAATGTTGCTGTCCCATTCAAAGCAGTTTAACGTTGTCTGTTGGCAACTGGGCAAAGTCGTCTAGACAGCCAGGTTCTCATTAACCTTGTCCGTGCCCTCAACGGGCCAACAATAAGGCACTGTTTGGGGAAGGCGGGAGGAAGAAGTGGTGTTGAGTGATATTAAGCCATTCCCATTTCTTGGCAAAGCACAACTGAAACTCAGAAGCAGGAGTTGGGCGAAGCCTGAAACTTGCTATCTCTGGCTCGGAGACGGCTAATAAGTCACTTGAGTCCCAGAGCCCCAGTCAACCTTTAATCTGTGCTGAAGCATTGTTTTTTTTTCTTTTGTGTGAGTTTCACAGTCTGTCTATGCTATTATTCATGCTATTATGGAGGTCAGTCAGTGCATTCCCTTCACCTTTCGCCCTTTCCATGCCTAGACAGCAAAAAGCAATGTTGACACTTGAAAGTAAGGCAGCTCTCCAGACTGGGATTGGTCAGACAAGTGGATTAATGGTTAAGAGGCCTTTCTGCTTCACTGGTGATGTAAACTCATGGAATGTTATGGAGTGAATCAGCAAATAGCTGTGAACTCCGAGAACCTAACAAGAAGGACTGAGTCAGACATCTCAGGGATATTTAATAATCTCCTGAGAGCTCTCTGATAAGCGTTTGTGGGTGGCTACTGTAATAACAGAATCAGTGGTGATTGCACATAGTCAGCTTGTGGCTAGTTACTACAATGGCTCAGTTTGTGCAAAGCTGCTGCCGAGAATAAAACTTAACTGTAAATACCAGAAAGGTTTCATGTTTGATCCTCAATCTATGTTGAGTTAATTTACCTCAGCCAGGACCACAGCGGGAATGCGGCAATTGATCTCAGCACCTCTGGGCGAAGACCCCAGCATCTGATTACAATCTAGTGATAGGTTGAGT